GGCCACGCTTTTACCGTCCTGCTTGCGAAGGGTATAATTACGTTCTCGATTTAAAAAAACCGTCGGTTCTGTAAAATACACTTAGCAATAAAAAAAAATTAGTTGGCACAGGCGGTTGTCAGATGAACGTGCAGACGAACTTCCGCTGCACGAACCGATGTTCGCTTACACCTCCGCCGTCTAAATATAAGCATATTAGTGCTACAGAAAAGCTCTGAAAGACGTGCCACTGCTCGTGTCTAGATAACGTGCCGCAAAAGATGTCTGCTGGAGTAGCACTAGTTTGTGTTTGCGTCTGTGCGTGTGTTCTCATGTTTAACATACACAAAACCCGCTCAGAAAAAGCGGCGTAGCCAACGTGTTTTGTCGCACTTTTACCGAATCATCACGGTCTAAATTTTAGAATCTTACTTTAAAAATAAAAATAAAAAGTCGGACTTTCACCGAATCATCACGATCTAAATTTCAGCGTCTTACTAAAGAAAAACGAATCATCACGATCTAAATTTCAGCGTTCTACTCAAAAAAAAAAAAAAAAAAAAAAAAAAAGCTCCAGAGGAAGTGCCCTTTCCACATTGTCTGCTTGTGTCTGCAGAACGTGCCCTCGAGTAAATTTTTTGCTTGCGATTCTTGGTGTTGTGTGCTTGCGTCTGTGCGCGTGTTGACATGTCGCTTTCAAAAAAAAGAAAAGAAGTCGGACTTTCACCGAATCATCACGGTCTAAATTTCAGCATCTTCCTCCGAAAAAAAAAAAAAAAAAAAAAAACTCCGGAGGACGTCCTCTCCACATTGTCTGCTTGTGTCTGCAGAACGTGCCCTCTAGTAAATTTTTTGCTTGCGGATTCTTGGTGTTGTGTGCTTGCGTCTGTGCGCGTGTTGACATGTCGGACATGATCAATCCACTCAGAAAAAACATCATAACCTTGCCAGAATGTATTGTCGTACTTTCACCGAATCATCAAGAGTCTATGTAATGTGTGTGAGCATAACCGTCTGAGAAAACAGGCAGGGGTGGGAGAGGGGGGGGGGAGTAGAGTGCTCTCTAGAATGCGTAGAGGATACGGGAAGATTGTAAATCTTAAGGTACAAAGTAAACAGATACGCGTCATTAGGATTTTCACTCAAATCTGACGAGTGGGGGGGGGGGGGCAGGCTCACAGTCTCGTTCGTGAAAATAAATAGGGAATCAAGCGACGAGTTCCATAGCAAAAATATGGCCGTCGAATGTGCTCTTTCCTGAAACTCGGACTGACGATTGAGGAAGTCTCTGATTACGGCGGACCACGACGCAAGTACTTCGTATGTTGTTGTTTCTCAGACTCCTAATTCATTTGCCTTTGACTGGTGGCAAGTCCCCACCTCAAGATTCACTCACGGATTCATTCCTTGATTCTCTACCTACTTAGCCTTGAGTCTACGGATTCACTCCCCGACTCTCTTCCTGCTCTGTCTTGAATCCACGGGGATTCATTCCTTGATTCATTCTTCCTGCTAGAGTGCTCTTCATCGAAGGTCTCATACTTCTCCACTGCTAATTAGTGGAAAAGAACTCCCCGTTCCCCCCTCCCCGCCGCCCCCTTTACAGCGCACGATTCAAAGTACTTAATTTTGCGCGAGGCCGCCTGATTTAAATATGTTCTTAGTAAATTCAGCCATACGACGTCTACCCAGGTTCTTATTAGGCTTAAAGCTATAATAGGCATCAATATAAAACTTACAATGGGCGGGGAATCGACGTGGAGACGGAACCACGACTACCCTACCCTCTGACTTGCACCAGCAAGGCGCAAACAGACCAGAACATCATTGAATTAGTGACGAGAAAAATCAAAGCGGTGAAAACCGTGAGAAGAATCGAGATCGGAATTTCTCTAGTGGGCACACACAATACGGCCTTCTGTCATGGACTTCAGCTGCACGTCGTGAACCGCACAAATCAACGGCGATCAGTACGGGATGCATCCGACTACTACAACGACACTCGCTGCGGTCTTCCCCGAAAGATAAAACGCCCTCAACATGAGTGAGTGCGTACGACGGGAAAATCGCGTGCGGGGAAAACGTTAGAATAGAACCCAAGAGAGAAACCCTTCCAAGACAGATAGATCAGAAACCCGGGTTCTCACGCGCAATTTCGCCAAAGCTTAAGTAACATAAACCACAGCCACATTGCAATGGCCTTACTCGCTTATACATGGCCGCAGAGCGAGCCTTAACCTCAATAGGGTGCTTGAATAAAAATGAGAGAGAGAAGCTCGTAGAACACGCCTCTGGAGATGCAAAGGAGACTTAAGATTGACAGCCTTGCATCTCCGACTCACAGGCACAAAAGTACAGAGAGCCGGGCAGATGCGGGGGTTCACGGATTCTGCCAATGCAAGCAACAGCGATGCGGCTGTTTTCAAAAACGAATAATTTTCTCTAGGCCATCATTTTTCCTGACGATCGACTCCACATAATGGCCACAGAAAGAGGTCCCACTCGCACTAATCCCCAAGGTTGAGTTCACATACAAATATGCCACTGATGGCCACAGAAAGGGGTCCCACTCGCACTTTGCCCCCCGTGTACTAACTCACAAATCTTGTCAGTTCTGCTAAGAGGATCCTGATCTGTAATCAAGGAAAGGAAATAACATCAGTGAGACTTGACACGTTTCCGTAAGCCAGACTCTGGCGGTCAGACTGACAACAACGTGTCAGGCGACTGACAATTTCGTGCTAGGTCAGCACAAACATTGCTGTCGTAAAACCAGGCCCAGATATCTTTCTTTTTACGCCCATCATAACGCCCGGCATTACAGCTGTATTCGGCTCTGCTTCCAGGCCAGACGGCTACAATGACTAGACCTTTTATTTAGGTGAAAAACGTACAATCTGTCCATCCTCAGCGAAGCACCCTCATTAGCGAAGGTTCATGCCCATCTTGACACATCTCAGAGAACAACTAACACTTAGCAGCGTCAGAGGAAACGGAAAGAGGGGACGGAAGGACGGCGAAACAATAACGACATAAGATTGCACGCAAGGGGTTCAATTGGGGGTTTACATTCATAGCGTACTCTGACCCAGGAGACGATATCCGTGGCTTGAATACAACGCGTACTCTGCCTACACAGCACGAGAGCGTACAAGACCATGCCGTGGACAAGACCATGCCGCCCACCGACTGCGACTGCCACAATGAGCTACCGTTCACCCACTAATTGGATCTCAAAACCGAAGTCGTCAGCTACTGCCGATTGCCACCTACAGTACCCTGTACTAAGCAACGCAACCGTTCAAACCATTCCGCGTACACCAGGCATTCAGAAGCATGCGACCCCGATTGTCGGAGGGGGGATCCACTGGAGCAGCACAGCGCTCTGAAGCCCTAAAAGACTACACGCAATCGCCCTCGCGTACAGCCGGACTTCCGTAGCATGTGAGTTCGGTTGCAGGGGTCTTCAGAAGCATGTGAGCTCGGTCGCAGGGGCCTTCAGAAGTGAGTTCGGTGGTAGGGGGATCTCCATTGGAGCAGCACGGCGCTCTCAATCCCTAAACCTAACCCACGCAATCCCCCTCTGCTTTTTTTCCTGTACTCCATGGAGGGAGTCTCCCCAAAAAAGGCACATAGGAAAAACAGCCGCGTGTTATCATTCAGCCAAGGGGAGGAAGAGAACAGACTGGCAAAAGAACAGTCCGAATCAGACTCGGACCACCTTCCATCGCCTTCCTCCTGTGGGTGTGATCAGCCCCGGAAGATCGGCACGGAAAGGGGACAAACGCTTCGTACCTCGCTCTCCTGAGAGGAAACTAGATAACGAGCCGACTCCTTGCCTATGCCTTGCTCTGCTAGAGAGAGAGCCTTCGGTAAATCCATTAAAATCAGCGAGGAAACTACTGACACGCAGATCAGATTCGAGAAAGGAAGCCAAATCTAGAGGGATTCGTGAAGCATAGCAGTTAATTCATAATCAATCATGACTGGCACATGTATTGCCACCGATCATCGTTCTTAGCTACTAGCCGATGATATTCCTCATCCGCATTCAGGAACGGATAATGCGAGTAATCATCAGCGAGGATGCAGGTGATCGCGACCAGCCTTTACCGCACAATGGACCTTCAGCCGTGCAGTTTGAGTCAGAACCCCAATTAACTCAGGAGTGTAAGCAAAAGCGCCATTTCATCTCGAGCTGCTAGCGGACCGACAACCCAGAGGAAGCCGACGAATTTCAGCGAAGTCTGCAAAGGCCGAAGGCAACTCAAACTTGAAACGTCAGCCCGGAGACTGCAGGAGCGCGAACGAACCCTATGTAGGATACCTATATAGCAGCATTCGACGTGGCCAACGCGATAGAATCGGAAAGAAGTGATTGCCAACGAGAACAGATCACAAACGACGAGCCGCTGGTCGAATATCGCATCACAATTCCGCTCGTTCAGACCGCGAATTCGAATGACAGGATCCACCTGAGAGATCTCACCGTCAAATTCAAATACCATTACACCCTTTCTATCCCACAACATGGTGACAAAAGAATGTCAACATCCGCTAGGGTTCGCTCTCCAGATGTCATGGCTGAGTCTGACATTGCTAGGGTTCGTTCTCTAGATGTCATGGCCGAGTCTGACATCCGTAGCGCATGTTGACTCACAACCACGCAAAACGAAACATTCCATCATTCGTTTTCAGACTGCGATATTTTCAGACTCGTGTAGATATAATAATCTGTCCTCGCTTTGAAGGATGTAGAAGCAAACGGGAATAAAAGGGAATTGATCATCATCATCTACTGTATTGAAGTGAAGAGTGACATCCGAAGGGGCAGACGGACCAACCCGTAGGTGAATTGTAGACATGCAACACAGAAATCAACTTTTCTATAAAATAATTCCTCTTCAGAGATTCACATGTGGAAACGAACACAAACAACAGAAAAGAAAAACAAATACTCGTTTTCACATATATAGGACAATGTGGAAACGAACACAAGCAGCAGAAAAGAACAACAAAAACTCGTTTTCACATATGTAGGACGATGTGGAAATGAACACAAGCAGCAGAAAAGAACAACCAAAACTCGGTTTCACATATATAGGACGAGCTGCAGCGCGTTCTTATCATTAGAAGAAACGGCTTCGACAGACTGCCTGCCTGAGTCCAGACATAAAAGCCGAAACCGCTTCGCCTGATAACAAAAACACATGGACGTCCAAATTGCCATGCAGACCGAATACATAGACAGATATTCTTCTTCGTTCACGGACTTCCGAGTTCTGAAAAAGCTGACGTCCTCWYYCWSWCTCTCTCTCTCTCTCTCTCTCTCTCTCTCTCTCTCTCTCTCTCTCTCTCTCTCTCTCTCTCTCTCTCTCTCTCWYTCMYYCCCCCCGCAACTCGCCTGCCATTTACCTTCGGTCCCACACTTCCGCTCGATGCTCTCCTTGTCAATCCCCCTGTCCGTTCGTTACCCTCGACACCCCCTGCTCTCTGGGCTCCGCACTCACGTCGTCTCTCTCTGCCTCTCTCCCACTCTCCCAGTTCATTCCCTCCTCACCACCTCCTGCCTTTTACATCCACTTAGTACTGTAATCTCAAGGCTTGCCTTCTCTATCCTCCTTGTTTCGTGGCCTGAAGGTTCATGCTCTCATTGTGTCCGTAAGCAACCACCATTTCGAGTCCTCTCTTGAGGCCACGGCTCCTGACCTCCCCTCCCTTCCCTTTCCGAACCGCGCTCCTTACACAGTAATCTCTCATCCTTTCTCCTCCCGAAAAGGCCTGCCACCGACTTTGAGTCTCCATTCAACCCTAATCTGCCTCCATCTCATTTCATCCCCTCGCGTTTTTTTAACCCTAGTTTGCGTATCTGCCCACGTCATCTCCCCTCTCGAGAACTCATTTTTCTGTTACTCCCATCCTTCACGACATCATCCCTACTCTCACCGCCCACCTCATTACCGTGCTCTGCACCCAGATCTAGCCGGCGCTTCGAGACCTCTTGCGTTCCTTGCTTGCCTCAGTGCAGCTGTCGTCCTGCCCCTCCAGATCTCCTCCCGGGACCCCTTCATATGCTGCGTCTCCGTAATTTTCATCTTGTAATCTTCCCGTCAGTTTCACCCCCTGGATATCGGATCTCGTCCCCGTTCTTCCCTGCCAGCCTTTCCTCTCCATCCCCACTCAGCTCCCTTCCACTCCCTTCTGCCCCTCTCCCCGTCGTCCTCCACCCGTTCCCTCCTCCCCGCTTTTCTCTCTTGCACACACCCCCTGACCGGAACGGTCCCTGCACCCTCTCCGACGGTATCTACCGCCTAGCAACTACATCGCTTCTTTTCTCTTCCTTCCCAGCCAATCCCTCCATGATGACCCTTGCGTTCCCGCTCTAACTACCTCACCAGCCCCGTCCGCCCCATCAATTTCCCACAAAGACTATCACGATGACTACCAGTTCTCGTTTCAGCATATTCTGGTTGCAATGAAACACCTTCCATGAATATATTTTTCTTAAGTGTGATTACACACTGACCACCTGACATCATTTCACATTCCACAAGGCAGACACAACCACCAAGCGACACACTGACACAAGCATATTCATCCCCAAAGAAGTAATTAGCCCACAAGAACAAGCCCCTCGTGTCATTAAGACCACTGAGCGCAATTGACAACCAAAAGCTCATTTATAATCAGAGATGATCTCCATCATTCTTCTTCTCTCAATGAAGAACAGACAAATGTGGCCATTCACACCAATAACCTCCAGGTACAAAATTCATTCGCAGGAACAAGGATGAAAAAATACATCCTCCTCGCCGCCGCAACCTCCTCTCGTCGAACAAATGACCTCACTTACAAAGACTCCCCTCACAATCGCCGCTAAGACAGACAAGAAGCATCATCAGCAGCAGCAGCAGCACCCGAAACGCAATCGAAGCCCGAGAGGCAACTGACGAACTGGCTACCAGCACCACCTTCCACCTCACTCCTCGGCTATTGTGCCCTTCTCGCTCACGTAAATGCCATCAAGAAACTTACGGATATCTTTCTCCTTGACATGGCACACTTGGTTGATAAGTGCGCAGGACCTCGACACGAGTTCCACATCGCTGCCGTCCACAACGATCTCGTCCTTCACCTTCTCCGATCTCGTGATAGTCACGCCGGGAAGCATGCTGACCTTCCGCACCTTCTTCTCGCCTAGAAAGTTACGGATCTCGATCGATGTGCTGTCGTCGCCGATGACTGCGTTGATGGGAAAGTGAGCGTACACGAAACGCATCTTGTACCGGTAGCCCTTGAGCACGCCTGTGAAGAGATTGTTGATGTGAGTGCAACAGGTACGGATAGAAGCGATTGTTTTCCTGTTCCCGAACCACGCGTCCACTCTCAGACGTTTGCCATCCTCTATGATGGCAAGATCGAGGTTCAGATGCTTGAAGTCCCGATACAACGTGCCACGCGGGCCAGTCACCCTGACCTTCTTCGCCTTGATCTCTAGCTTGACCCCTTCCGGGATCTCAAGGGTCTGGGAAGACCTAATCAACCTCATGGTTCCGAGATTACGCCGACGACGGCCCTAAGGCAAAGAAAGAGAAAGGGTGACGGCGCCTCTGCACCACGAGCCCGCAGCTGGGACTCGTTGGCTATGGAGGTAAGGAAAGACGAGCGAGAAGCGGGAGCCCTACCGTAGCTGCACCGCCGTGTCCTCAACATCAAGAAAGTGATGGCCGGTACTGCATGGGAAAGAGGGAGCAAGTGGCGCAGCAGACTACTTTGACAGCGACGAGTCGGTAAGACGGGAGAGCCCACACCGGCGCGCAAACCTCGGCCAAGCGGGTCGGCCACTTGCCCGCGCCAGATTCTCGTCCAGATGGGCTATTGCTGACCGTCGATGCGGGCGCGATGTTTCACAACCAAGGGGCCGCTCGTTCGCCGCGGGCTCCAAGACGCACCGCAGCTCCGGCCGCTGGTCCTCGTCCCCTCACGATGGTTACCAGCGCACAGCCTTCACTCGAACTCCTGGTCTAGAGCCCTCCCCTCCCCCGGCTCCGCCTGCAGGCAAATCACGGTCTCGACCGCCCCTGCCTCCGCCTGCAAGCACGACATGGTCTCGAACCCGCCCCTTCCCCCACCTCCCTCTCCAATCAAATCACGGTCTCGAACCCGCCCCTTTCCCCAGCTCCGCCTGCAAGCACCTCATGGTCTGGAACTCTCCCCTTTCCCCAGCTCCGCCTGCAAGCAGTCAATCCACAGCCGACGCCCCACGCCGAGGTTTCCTCCCTGGCGATGGGTCAAGTGCAGGCTGGGGTGAAGTGTGTCCATCCCCCAAGGTCGTTTTTCCCTAGGTAGCAAATCCGGATATCCGGCAGACCAATTTTATCCAAATTTTTCAATCCGGATGAAATTTCCAGATTAATTCCGTATATGGAAAATCCGGGGTTAGTACCTCTGCCAGCGTTAGGAAAGTACAATATTTTTGTCTGTCCCTGAAAAAATTGGGGGTGGGACCCAGGGTCAGCGAGTCCCATAAATCTTAGTTTTCTTTTATCCGTGCGTGAAATGAAGAGGAAAAAAAAATAAAAAAATTTGTATTGCGATGATGTCGAGCAAGGGTAGTTTAGGAGGTGATGCTTACAGTCTTGTCTTTCATGAAACATCTTACAACAAAGACGGTCATATTCTGAAACTCGCTGTTTTTTTTTTTTTTTTCCTCATTTGTTTGTTATGAGTCCCCTGCCAGCGAGGCACGGGGGATTCCGTAATCGGCTCTAGCTATGTTTCCTCGAAGGATTGTAACCCTGATGTACCCAACCATTTTCACAGTCGAATCCATTTATTATTATTTTTTTTTTAATTTAACAACCTGGCCATGGAGCAGAGATGCCCTCACTGAGGGCACACCCACGCTACCACTTACAAGGATGTATACAACTGCAATAACGAGCAAAACTTTATTATTTTTTTCTTGTTTTTGTTTTGTGAGCTTCACGGTCGCAACCAGGGTCATCAACCCGTACTTACAGAGGTCTCTGAACCGACCTTCGTACGTATTGGCGTTCGGGGGCCGAGCTCGAAGGCGTTCGGCTCCCCGCCAAAAATTATTTCAGAGCCAAGAAATAAGTTTTTTTTTTTTTTTTTTTTTAGTTCTCTATGATGTGAGCTTCATTCCTATAAATTTAAAAGTCATTTTGTTGATCCAAACAAAAATTAAAGATGACAGTGTCAAAATGTGCTTGCCCACTTATTATTTTTTTTCCCACTTCTTACCTAGGCTACAAGTCGGGCCGCCCGAGTCACCTTATTTTCTCGGACAATCCGGTCGTGTAAAGATTAGGGAAGGTCCTAGTAAAAAAAAAAAAAAAAATCAAACAAAGCTGAAAAAAATTATGTTATACATAAAAATAAACAAAACAACTTCTGCCTCAGAGTCCTATCGAAATTTTTTACCATATTAAAAATAAAAAATAAATTTTAAAAATAAATTTTACTTTTCTATTTTATTTTATTTTTTTGTTCGGCGGGGTAAGTGGCCCCGGGCCACTCTGATAGCCTAGCTTCTTACTTTTTTTTTTCATTGTATTGCATGACCTAAACAATTTTCTTATTTCTAAAAAAAAATTAATATAATTTTTATTATGTGAAGTACACACCTGTAAATTTTCAGGGCATTTGACTTTGTCTAAACCAAATGATCAATCGACAAAGATAACAGTGTTGAAAACATGCTCGCTCATTCACTAATTTTAATTATTATTTTATATTTTTTTATTTTTATTATCAATTTTATGTTCCATACTTAATTTTTATTTCGAATTTGGTAAGGAATTTGAATATAATGCTCAGGGAAATATTGTTTATTTTATTTTTCTTGATAACTTTTTTTTTTTTTTTTTCCACGTTCGGCCCCAATGATCGAACGCATCCCCAAGGATCCATGCGTTCGGGTGTTCGGGTTTGGGCATTCAGCCTGTTCCGAATGCCAGTTACCCTGCTCGCAATTTTTTTTAATTTTATTTTTCTTGAAAGCAGCATAAAAAAATAGTGTGGAATCCAAACTCGGCAACCTTAAAGTGGAGTAAAATTCAGGGTTAACAAAAACAAGCTCGGAGGTACTGGTGGTTTAAGAAAAAAAAAATCAACAAAAACTGAAAAAGACACATGTTCTTCATATTAACGATACGAACAACTTTTGGGTTGATGTCATCTTTAATATCTCAACAGATATGAAGATTAAAAAAAAAAAAAAAAAAGTATTTAAATAAAAACAAGGAATTTTTTCATGCATGGCCAGACACCCGGGCGTGAAAAAAAAAAAAAAAAAAATGTTGTCCTAGAGAACCACAAATCCTGGCTCCTTTCATTCTTTAAGAGTTGGTTGTCAAAGGGGGGTATAAATTATTTTTAAAGAAGCTAAGAGAGGTTAAAGGGTGGTCCTTTAGTATGATTTGCTAAGCTACTAGAGTGACCCGGGTCCACTTGTCCGTTCGGACAAATAAGAAATGAAAAAATAAAAATTATTTTTAATTAAAAAATTATTTTAAATTTGATAAAGAATTTCAATGTGACCCGGGGGCTAAAGTTGTTCTATTTAGTTTTCTACATAACATAATTTTCTTTGGTTTTGGGGGAGTTTTTTTTTTTTTTTTTTTTGGCTGGGACCTTCCCTAGTCCTTGCACGGCCAGGCCGCCCGAAAAAATAGGGTGAGCTGGGCGACCCGGTTGGTAGCCTATAAGATTTTGATATTTTCTTTTTTATCTCCGATTTGGTGATGAATCCACATGTCAACCTCAACCAAAAATTGTTTGTATTGCAATTTTACACAAGATATTGCTTTTAAGATTTTTTTTTTTTTTTTTTTTTTTTTTTTTTTTTTTTTTGCCCGGAACCCTACCCGAGGGTCATGCCCAGTCGGGCCCCTGGGCATGTGTCCGAGCACAAGTTGGATGTCCGAGCACCCCAAAAACAACCTAGGATAAAAATTAATAAAATGAATTAAGCAACCCCTATCTAAACCAATTTATTCATTATCTTACCCGTTTTGAACCCTTTCATGACCTACCAAGCTTTTCATTAAATATGAACGTAGTTCTATTGTATTTTGCATTCGCAATATCACTTTTTTTTTCTATTTTTTTATTATTCGTATTTTCGGATAATCCCACCCTCCGATCATCCGACCAAATATTATGTGCTACATAGTTTTTTTGTGCGTGCGACAAACGAGAAATGGGGCAAGAGAGGTTAAACCGCTAGTGCATAGCTCGTGCGTTGTACAAAAATTGTTTGTAATGTACTAAAAAAAAAAACCGGGTTGGTGCACCGTTGATAAATTTTATTATTATCGAACGTCTACTGGTGGTTTAAAACATCATTCTCATGGTCGGCCTAAATTAGGGGGAACCGGTAACAAAGTGGGAAAACCAAGGGAGTGGCAAAAAACAAAAATGCATCGAATTGTTGTTAAGATTTATCTCATAGACTAAACATTTTTTTTTTTTTTTTTTTAAATATTTTTCCTGGAGAAAAACCGACCAGATCTACGAACCCTCTCATTTAAGATTTGTTGACAATTTTTTTTTATCGTAAAAAATCGTTGAAGTTGAGATACTTTTCTTGTTGACCCACACGTGGTAGAACAACAAAAATAAAACATGAGATGAATCACCTTGACTTTTATTTAACTATCTTAATTTTTTTTTAAAATATATTTTTCCTGGCAAGACCACGACAAAATCTAGAGACCCTCTAAATTTCAGATTTTATGAGTCGTTTTTTTTAGCACAAAAAATAGTGGAAGTTGAGGTATTTTTCTCATTGAACCTCATTTGGTAGAGTAATTTAAATAAAAAATGTGAGGAGTCGACATGATAATTATTTCACGATCCAAATATTTTTTTTTTTTTCTGATTTTGTTTTTTCATGAAAGATCTCAATTTTTTAATTTTTTCGATAATTTTTCTGAGTGCAAAAATTCGTCTTACATCAATCAATTAAAAATTACGGGTTTGAACCTGCCTGCATCTGTTGATCGTCGCCCTCATTGAAACCTCGTCCGTAAGGTCGGGAAGGTCGAATTTAGGTCGGCGAGGGGAGTGGTGGTTTAAATGTTATCCTCATAAAACTCATAGAAAACTTGAAGGACCTTCGAACTGGCCTAGCTCAGTTCATACGGTCATAAACTATTGAAATATTGATTGAAGTTTGAGTCTGTATACAATCAAATAACCAAACAAATATTTCTCAATTACCAGGAGTCATCAAGTTCAATTTTTATTTTTATTTTTTTATTGATATTGTCTTCAAACATATTCCTCATGGGACCCCTACCTAACGACCTTCCAATATTTTATGGCACAACCGCACTTCACAAATCCTACCTCTCTATTGACCATCGCTTTCTAGTGGAGTGACATAACCAATAATGGTCGTCAGCACCAATGCTAAATAGAATACCCCATTAGCCCTCGTTGATAACGAGTCTCGTCCTACAGGTACCTTGGACGTTTAAGCATGAACCGATTTGGAGTACAAGCCTACGAGTCAATCCGTATTTATTTTGAATTTGGTAAAAAGAAAAATCTAACTATGAGACAAAAATTGTTAAGTTATGTTTTAAGCAAAATATATATTTTTCTCATATTTTATTGATTTATTTTTTGCAACAAGTTTGTATTTCTTTTGCGCATTTTGGTCATCGGAGTAACCAAGGTTATGTGCTCATACAGGGTTGTCAAGCCGAACGTACGGAGGCCCCTAAGTTGACCCCCGAACGTTCGGACGTTCGGGTCCCCGTAC